GCGTTACAATATTATCTCTACCTTCAAATTAAATTTAAAATCATTTGTAATCGTATTTAAGATGATAAAAACAAAACAAAAGACCTAACCATCCATTTTTTAACCACTTTATCCAATACAGGGTAATGGGAGAGTAAGAGCCTATCCTGACAAGCAACGAGCACAGGGCAGGATACACCCTGGGTGGGATGCCAGTTCATCACGGGGCACACACAGACACAGTTCAGCTACCAGTATGTCTGGAGGACCTGGAGAAATATCCCACACAAACACGGAGTGAACATGCAGTACAAACTCCATGCAGATAGCACCCCAGGAATAGAGCCCAGGGCCTCGCCATTGATAATCACTGCACCATCAGGAGGTCGGCTGTGAAAGTTGTAGGCTAGATGTATAGGGGTCTAATTTTGGAAGCAGTTCAAGCTGCACATCAGTTTAGTGCAAAAATCCAAAATCTTTTCACCGGATTGCAGATTCTGTTGTCTTAAAAAAAAAATCTACATTTGATTCTCAATGTAGAATAAAAAAAACGTTTGAAAAAGTTGTGTTAAAGCTGCTTTGAAAGAGAAAATCAGTTTTATAGTGGCAGAGACTGCACTGTCATGGCTTACAAGTGCTTTAAAAGATCTGCCACACATCAGTTGCCTTCTCATTGTGCCTTAAAGCAAATTTTTCTCATTTTCAATTACTGACCAATGCAGTACAGTTCATTTTCAGTTTAAATTCGTATATTTTAAGAATCTCTTTTGCACCTTTAAAGGTCGTACGTTCATAAAAAATAATATTTAAATATTTAGTATTTTCATTATTTAATTTAATAATATTTAATAAAACTGTTAATTTAGTGTCAACAGTCAACTTCATGAGCATTAATTTAAATATATGGCTCTCTTTTCCCTGATGAAGCCTAATTCAACAAGTTTTACTTGACCTCTTTTTTTTAAACTTTCAAATATTTAATATTTTTTTGCTGCAAGTTAGAAAATAACTCAACCCAAGCAGGTGAGTTTGTCATGGTAGTGCATTATTGAATCAGTAAATGTTCAACAAAAGCCTGATAAATGTAAGGGTTTATTAACATGGCATATTTTATAGGATCCTATAGCTGTTGATGAAGCCCTACGCAGTCCCTGAGTGAACAGTGTAGGGATAGACAACATAGAGAGTCAAGTGACCCAGATGTTTCTCAGGCTGAAACAGAGCAGGAGACAGGAAGAGAGGAAGGAGTTCTGCAGGCTATGTTTTAGTTGTGCCAAAGCGTGTTGTTAGAAAGCGACCTTAGGTTTGGCTGAGCTTATAAAATGTCTGAATCACAAGCCTGAGGGAAAGAGACAGTCCAGGAGGAAGTGAGGGCGACAGTGGAAGAATGGAGATCCAGCAAACGAGTTGGAATGAGGATACAGGGAACCTTGAGCAAGGGAGAAACAGCTGACAAACCAGAAAGACTCATCGTCATGACCTTTGTCGATGAGAGGCTCACCACAGCAAGCTCCCAATCCAGGATGTTCATGGTGTCCTCTCTAGCCCATCCAAACTTAAACTGTTCTGTTGGAGGTATCCAGGAAAAAAAACTGGAGCATATCGTTAGCTACTGTGCAAAACACACTGGGAGAGGGTCACTGTTTCGGGCGTCATGATCAGGTCTTATTACAGACATACAGAGATCTGTAAAAGGCTCCGAGCTGGCAAGTGTCAACATCACGTCACGGCACAGCTGTAGAACAACCTTTGCGAACATCGGGGTCAACTTTGAAACTGCAAACTGATGGCAAATGACAGAAGGCTTGGAAAGGCTAATGTCTCTTAGAACATCAGTAACAGAACATCGATGACAGTTTCTCGTCTCGGAGAAAGTGAAGCAACTCTTCATACCCAAGGTAACGATTCCTTGGGAAGATCGCCTGGAGGAGGCAAATGAGAAGGGAAAGTTCTTAAAGCTGGACTTAACTGTGCAGCACAGGCTGTATAGGTCTGGCAAAAAGCTTAAAACGATGTATTCATCTAGTACAGTACTAGATGTACTAGCACAGTACTAAGTACGAGGGT